AATGGGATCAGAGGCAGGATCAGAAATGGGATCAGGAGCAGGAGCAGGAATGGGATCAGAAATGTGATCAGGAATGAGATCAGGAATGAGATCAGGAATGGGATCAGAAATGGGATCAGGAGCGGGATCGGGACCACACCTGCCTGAGATCCATCCATGACACCCCAGGAAAATCCCTTCTGACCTTCCCAAGGCATGGACACCTCCCATCCCATGGATCCCATCCCATGGATCCCATCCCATCCCATGGATCCCATCCTATGGATCCCATCCCATGGATCCCATCCCATCCCATGGATCCCATCCTATGGATCCCATCCCATGGATCCCATCCCATCCCATGGATCCCATCCTATGGATCCCATCCCATGGATCCCATCCCATCCCATGGATCCCATCCTATGGATCCCATCCCATGGATCCCATCCCATCCCATGGATCCCATCCTATGGATCCCATCCCATGGATCCCATCCCATCCCATGGATCCCATCCTATGGATCCCATCCCATGGATCCCATCCCATCCCATGGATCCCATCCTATGGATCCCATCCCATGGATCCCATCCCATCCCATGGATCCCATCCTATGGATCCCATCCCATGGATCCCATCCCATCCCATGGATCCCATCCTATGGATCCCATCCCATGGATCCCATCCCATCCCATGGATCCCATCCTATGGATCCCATCCCATGGATCCCATCCCATCCCATGGATCCCATCCTATGGATCCCATCCCATGGATCCCATCCCATCCCATGGATCCCATCCTATGGATCCCATCCCATGGATCCCATCCCATCCCATGGATCCCATCCTATGGATCCCATCCCATGGATCCCATCCCATCCCATGGATCCCATCCTATGGATCCCATCCCATGGATCCCATCCCATCCCATGGATCCCATCCTATGGATCCCATCCCATGGATCCCATCCCATCCCATGGATCCCATCCTATGGATCCCATCCCATGGATCCCATCCCATCCCATGGATCCCATCCTATGGATCCCATCCCATGGATCCCATCCCATCCCATGGATCCCATCCTATGGATCCCATCCCATGGATCCCATCCCATCCCATGGATCCCATCCTATGGATCCCATCCCATGGATCCCATCCCATCCCATGGATCCCATCCTATGGATCCCATCCCATGGATCCCATCCCATCCCATGGATCCCATCCTATGGATCCCATCCCATGGATCCCATCCCATCCCATGGATCCCATCCTATGGATCCCATCCCATGGATCCCATCCCATCCCATGGATCCCATCCTATGGATCCCATCCCATGGATCCCATCCCATCCCATGGATCCCATCCTATGGATCCCATCCCATGGATCCCATCCCATCCCATGGATCCCATCCTATGGATCCCATCCCATGGATCCCATCCCATCCCATGGATCCCATCCTATGGATCCCATCCCATGGATCCCATCCCACCCCATCCCACCGACACAACTCCCACCAGGAAAACCCTCTCCCAAACGAGCTGAAATCCCATCGGGAATCTCCCATTCCGGGGCCGGCTCCGTTCCCAGCCCATTCCCGGGATTCTCACCCCGTTCTCGCCCCCGATCAGGTGCACTTCATCCACGATGAACAGGTTGACGTTCTGGACGTTCTTCCGTTGTTTCCAGCGGCGGGAAAGGATATCCCACTTTTCCGGGGTGCTGATGATGATGTTCCCTTTTCCCAGCAGCTTCAGGTCCGTGCTGGTCTCTCCGGTGAGGAGCACCACCTTCTTGTTCAGCCGTTCCTGGAATTTCTCGTACCAATCCATGAAAACCTGCGGCGGGAAAAAGGGGATTGGACTGGAATCGGGGCGGTTCCGGATGGATTTGTTGGGAATTTGCATGGAGGAGGTGTTGTTAGCACTCAGACTGGGGGGGATTCACGTCAAATTCCTCGCAAATTCAGGAAATTCCCAATAAATTCAGGCAATTCCCACCGAATTCCTCTCAAAATGGAGAAATTCCCACCAAATTCCTTTCAGTTTGGGGGAATTCCCACAAAATTCCCCTCAGATTGGGGGAATTCCCAACAAATTCCTCCCAGATTGAGGGAATTCCCACAAAATTCCCTTAAATTGGGGTAATTCCCACCAAATTCCTCTCAGATTCAGGCAATTCCTCTCAGATTGGGGGAATTCCCACAAAATTCCCCACAAATCGAGGGAATTCCCACCAAATTCCTCTCAGATTGAGGGAATTCCCACAAAATTCCTCTCAGATTGGGGCAATTCCCAACAAATTCCTCTCAGATTGGGGGAATTCCCAACAAATTCCTCTCAAATCGAGGGAATTCCCAACAAATTCCTCTCAAATCGAGGGAATTCCCACCAAATTCCCCTCAAATCGAGGGAATTCCCACAAAATTCCTCTCAGATTGGGGCAATTCCCAACAAATTCCTCTGAGATGGGGCAATTCCCAAAAAAATCCCTTAAATTCGGCAATTCCCAACAAATTCCTCTCAAATTCAGGTAATTCCCACAAAATTCCTCTCAGATTGGGGCAATTCCCACAAAATTCCCTTAAACTGGGATAATTCCCATCAAATTCCTCTCAAAATGGAGCAATTCCCACCAAATTCTTCTCAGATTGGGGGAATTCCCAACAAATTCCTCTCAAATTGAGGAAATTCCCACCAAACTGGGGCAATTCCCAACAAATTCCTCTCAGATTAGAGCAATTCCCACAAAATTCCCTTCAAATTGGAGCAATTCCCACAAAATTCCCTTCAAATTGGAGCAATTCCCATGGAATTCCTCTCAGCTTGGGGGAATTCCCAACAAATTCCTCCCAAATTGAGGAAATTCCCACAAAATTCCTCTCAAATTGGAGTCATTCCCAACAAATGCTTCTCAGATTGGGGCAATTCCCAAAAAATTCCCTTAAATGGTGACAAATTCCTCTCAAATTGGGGCAATTCCCGCCAAATTCCTCTCAAATCGAGGGAATTCCCACAAAATTCCCTCAAATCGAGGGAATTCCCACCCAATTCCCTTAAATCTGGACAATTCCCACCAAATTCCTTCAACCCAAACCCAATCCCTCTCAAATCCGGCTGCGATCCCCACCCTCATCCAGCCCCGGAATCGTCCGGAATGGGCCAAGCCCCGAGTTTATCCCGAGGGAATGAGCGGGAATTTCCACATCCCGAGGGAATTCCCGGGATTCACCTGCTCGGCCAGAGCTTCCATGGGGGTGATGTAGACGCAGCGACCCTCGGAATTCTGGAGGAGCATCCGGAGGATGGCGAATTCCGCGCAGATCGTTTTCCCGCTGCCCGTGGGCGCTCCCACGAAAACGTTGTCGTCGCTGTTGTACACCGTGTTGAACACTGGGAAAAAACGGGAATTGTCAGGGAAAATTCCCCAGGGAAAAATCCCCCCGGGGGAAAATTCCCCGGAGGAAAATTCCCGGAGGAAAATTCCCGGGAAAAATTCCCCAGGGGAAAATTCCCAGGGGAAAATTCCCCGGGGGAAAATTCCTGGGGGAAACTCCCCAGGGGAAAATTCCCAGGGAAAAATCCCCCCGGGGGAAAATTCCCCAGGGAAAAATCCCCAGGGGAAAATTCCCCAGGGAAAAATCCCCCCGGGGGAAAATTCCCCAGTGGAAAATTCCCGGGGAAAATTCCCGGGGGAAAATTCCTGGGGAAAATTCCCCGGAGAAAATTCCCGGGGGAAAATTCCCCAGGGGAAAATTCCCGGGGGAAAATTCCCCAGGGGAAAATTCCCGGGGAAAATTCCCCGGAGAAAATTCCCGGAGAAAATTCCCCGGGGGAAAATTCCCAGAGAAAATTCCCCGGGGGAAAATTCCCGGAGAAAATTCCCCAGGGGAAAATTCCCAGAGAAAATTCCCCGGGGGAAAATTCCTGGGGAAAATTCCCGGGGGAAAATTCCCGGGGAAAATTCCCCAGTGGAAAATTCCCGGGGGAAAATTCCCGGGGGAAAATTCCTGGAGAAAATTCCCCGG